GAAAAAAAAGCAGAAAGACTTGAGCAAACAAGATACATGCCAAGTCTTGGTCAGTCTACACTTCTTGGCACCTGCCCAGATTAGACCACAATGGTACAGATGACAGCTTGTGGCAAAGTGGGGACAGACTGACATGTCTTTGGGAGAGGCAAAAAGAGAGGGTCAGTACCTGGGAAGCTCATGCCTTTCTCTATCCTCTTACCGAGTCTCTTTAACCAGAAGCTTCCGAATGAAGTCCTTGGCCAACTCGCTGGTCTGACTGAAGAATTCCTCATCAAAGTCGTAACTCACTGCCGTGATATTTGCCAGTGTTTCCTGCTTTGTGTCTCCCAGGAATGGGGATGCTCCACTTAGGCTGAGCACACAGAGAGGGAACATGTGACTGTAGGAAAGTAGATGCAAGTGGGGATGACGGACTCAGGGAACCTGGACTTATACTGTTGCTTGAGGATGGGGGGCTCCCAGCAACATTGCCTGTTCCCTCTGGGCAGCCAGTCAGTAGCCTTTTCAACTGAGTCCAATTCAGTACACCTCATGGAGCTCCTACTAAGTACTTGACAGAGAGAAACTGTGTCTTCAAGGGAATTGAAAGAGGAGGGGAGAGAAGCAGAGCAGAACAAAGCAGAATATAATAGTATGCCAGACAAAGAACTGGGGAGCACAGAGCAGAGGGGAGGCCCAGCACAGGCTGCATAGGAGAGATGACATTTGCATCAATTGTGTTTTAAAGAGTAAAGACGTTTTCGGCCGTCAGAGAAGGAGATGGAAGGTCTTCTAGGCTAAGGGAGTAGCTGAGCAAAGCCTAATAGGTATGAACTAGATGGGCCATTAGGGACTAGAAGGGTATGTGAAGTTCCCCTACAGGGTTTGTCAAGGAAGTATCATTCAAATAATGATATGGAATCTACTGTCTCCTGATTCATATTGTTGTTACTTATGGAAAACCTCTACCCAGATGTGCCATTGTCCCAGAAGTCACTGTGCCCAAACTTCCTGAGCTCCTTGCCTCGAATAATGATGTCACTTCACAAATGTACCCAAGCTAGAAACATGGGGTCACCTCTAACTCTTCTTTCATTCCCTCACCTCATCTAACTGGCCAAAAAGTCTTGTTGGTTCCATTTACTAAACATCTCTTAAAGGTCATCCCCATCCCCACTGCCATTTTCTTGGCATGAAGGCAGCAAGGTGCACTGGAAAAATGTGGTATTTCAATCCTGGGTTTGAATCCCCGCTCTGTAACTCATTAACTGTGTGAACCTAGGTAAGTTATTTGACCTCTCTGAGCTGCAGTTTCCTCCTCTGTAAAATGATGAAAATAAAAGTCTCCACCTCACATGAATGCTGTGAAGAATAAATATACATAAAATACTCCATGCTCCTGTCCCATACAAAAGCTCTGGAATTGATGGCCATTATTATTGTCATTATTAGAACACAAAGAACCTTCCATGACTCCCCATTTTCTATAGGACCACATCTAAACTCCTGAGCAAGACATCAGAATTTGGTCCTACCACATGCTCAGTACTTTTCACCACACTTAACATGCTCTCTGTTCCCTTCCTTAGCAGGACAGCCCTTCCCTCCCTTTCTACCTGGAGAATTAACCTCATGCTATATGACCCAGTTCA